ATTTGCTTTGTTTTTTTAATGAAATGAATGAATAAAACTAAACTAAACTTTGAGGAGATTTTGTGAAATGACACATTATCCAGATAAACAAGCTGGCTCTACAGGAATAATTGGTCATTAATATGAAAAGAGCTCTCAATTAAAACCAATAACTCCATAAGAAAAGTCCAAATTAGCAAAACAAAAAAAATATATTTAAAAAAATAAAGTGGAAAAAAATTGTATTATTTTAAACTGCTTAAAAAGCTAAATCGTTATTGGAAATTAGTGCTCATGTTTTGTCTTAGTTTTTTATGTGAAAAATGCTACAATTCAGGTATTTATTATTTCCCTTTAAAACTGCTTAGATTAGGAGATTACTCTGCTTTATTTTAAAGATTGCTTTTCATTTTATAGAGTGTGACCCAAAATAAAAGTTGTGACGGTTCCGGTTATTTGATGATTTTATTGCTATTAATTGATTAATTGAGTTGGGCYCCAGTCAGGTCTTCCTCCTGACTTATAGGATGTTTTAACCAGCTTAAGATGTTTAAACCGTAATTAATACATGGTTAGGGTTTGTTTTAATTTAACCATTCACATCAGGACATGTAATGTACACAAAAAATATAAACACACACCCTGTTCAACTTTAAATAAATAATCATTGATAAAATGTTTTAAATAAAGAACGTGAGCACAGACGAGTAAGTTTTTTTTTTTCAAATATATTATTTACAAAAATAGAACAAACAAAATAGAACAATGTAAATACAAACAATATAAAACAAACTATTTTGGCTCCACAAAGACAAAAATGGTAGGAGGCTTGACTCCACACAAAATAAATTTACACACAAACAAAAGTACAAAACTACAGACTTTTTCTGTTTTGGTTTGGTTCGGCTTCAGCATTACTCCGTAACTCCACGACTGATTAAAGTTATCCTCSGAGGGATTAAACACCTCGTAACGGAGCTTTTACACGCAGGTTTGGAGGACTGCTGCTCAATTCGAGTCTGGCCGTCAAATGAACGAACACAACGCAGTGTGCGTGTGGGCGGCTCTTTTAAAGGGAAAGTCACCGTGATTAACACAGGTGACCGGAATCAATCATTTGTGTCGGCAGTGAGAAAACACTGGTGAAAATAATTAAATGATGTGCAACTTCAGGTTGCCACAAAGTGATGCTTTTTTGCTGTGAAGTTGTTTCTCTTTATTGCAAACCTGTTTTTCCAAGACCTCCTTAGTGACGAAAGAAAAATAATTACAGGCTCTTATTATACACACATCCTTTGTTTCCAGCTACAAAGGCGTAAAAACGTATTGTTTGAATTTATAAATTATTTTTGGTTCCTTGGCTTTTTGCTCTCACTGTGGTCTAGTTATCTATGGAAGCATTTGGCATGCCCTCCGTGGCAACCCTAATTGAATTAACCCACCACTTCTTTGAACACAACTAAGCGGACGCTTATTTGCARGTGAAGGCAAATTTACATGTTTGTTCCGAGCCAAGATTGGGTTTTGGTGCTTTTTCTATGAATGGCTCAGTAGTGTGCTTAATTAAATCATTATCGTGAGCAGAGGTGAATCATTTCAAATGCGTGTTCGGGTAGGGAGCAGAACCGGAGTAAATTAATAAATAAATCTTACAGAGACGCCTTTAGATGGGGACCGTGCGAGGGTTCGGCGCCGGKAAGTGTGTTCATTTATTTTTTAAACCCACCTGCTCCCATTTCTTAGGGAGTCTTTTTGTGCTTTGGTTAGAGAGCTTAATTTATGCTTATGAACACCCACTCTGAGGTGACCATGAAATCTGAAGTTAAGTCTGGGGATGTGAGGACCAGGCTTTGTCTTAAGAAACAGGAGGAAGAGGGATAACGACAAAGGCACTTGAGATTAAAGGAGGTATAGTTACCCCTCGAGCAATCTTGCACCTCCACTGTTTTCTGCGCCGCACTCTGCAGCGTGCTGTGAGGGAGCTGCTGTTAGCCTTCAAAAAAAAAAAAAAAAAAAGGGACGATGTTGCCAAAGATAAATGTTTCCCTATCATGTGTCACTCAGGACTATATTTTGGAATATTATTTCTCTCCCCCTAAGGACAGAACTATTAAAGGCATTAGCGCAGAAGAGATCAGCAGTTTCTTCTGCCTGGGAAGGGTTCTCTGTTGTTTACTGCAGCAGGAATTCCCCGTTGAGTATAAATCACATTAAAGGAAAGGGATTAGAGGGTATATCATTACTGCGTGTCCTAAGTCAAGGAGAAACCTCCAGGAGCAGAGAGCCAGTGATGAGGAGAAACTATCAAAATTTCATGTGCGACGTCTGTGATTGTAGAGCGTCGGGGGGATCGTCTTTTGTCCTATGAGCTCAACGAATCACAACTAGAGTCAAAAATCTTTTTTTTTTTTTGGTAGACCCCCAAAGACATGAGCCTAACACTTTTTTTTATATACCCTATAACTTTCATCAGGAKCACGCTCTAAGGCTGCCTTCCTTCCAATCTGATGCATATTTCAGGGGAGAGGTGAAAATGACCTTCGGGTCACCAGTTTTGTCCAGATATGACGGCCGTAGAGTTCCGTTCTCCATAAAGTCTCCTTTCTCTGAGACCTAAAGGAGACTTTTGCGTTTGAACTTCTTGCTTGTTGTTATTCTTTCTTTTCTCATTTCTCAAGAGGTACCTTTATTATTATTTTTGTAGATAAAACTGCGCACTGCAACGCCTTTAAGTATTGCTCTAAAAACATCAATCAATGTCCCACATGGTTTAATAAGAACAAAATGTTCTAAATCCAGATGCATTAGTACCACTACTTAAAACCTCTAAATGAGCTRCTCATATTGTATAATAAATGAGCTAATGAGCCGCATGCTGCAGATTGTTTTAACACTTCCTGTACTTTAGTACTTTTCACTATGCTCAGGTGGTAATGTCTTCACCATAGCTCCTGCCTCAAAAGAGATCTAAAAACTAAAAAGAAAAAAAAGGAAAAAGCATTCACACACACTGATGAATATTTCATCCATCAAAAGGGAAGGCCCACTGGAGGTAATGGGCAATCTGTGGAATCCTAAACGGACTGCAGTGAGAAGCTGAATGATGGTGAGAGGATTTTAAAGCAGGTGGATGAAGTGAAACGGAGAAAGAGAGATGGGGGGAAGTGGGACAAAAAGAGATAGCAAAATGTTACCTCAAAAACAAAATACTAGTAATGTACTTGTACCAAAAAAATACACTTTAAAGTGCCTGTGACATGATTTTTTATAATAAATATGAATGTATTTTTGGAAAGATAACACTGATAACATTTTGTAAAAAAAAGATTTCACGCCGCTGAGATGAACAGTTGTTGAGATATTTGCATGTGTAGTACCAGGAAGTGATGTCAAAGGGGAATGTCTGCATGTGAACAGAGCGTTGCTAAAAAGGCTAACACAAACTGTAGAGAAAAATCAGATGTTTCTTTAGATTATTTTAATCACCATCAGAAGGTGAGAAAGAGTCAGAGTTCAAATAATGTTTCAATAAACAAAAACCAGGGAGTTTTCTTTCTCAAAGAGTTCCCCTTTGATGTCACTTCCTGTTTCACTTTAGCTGAGCAAAATTCTAAAGAAAATATGCCAATTATGTGACATAACGGATAAAATCATGTGCATTATGTTAAGTTTCTTAAATGTAAATATAATTTTCTTTGACTTTTTGTATTTCATGGATATGCATGTCACAGGCACTTTAAGAAAATATTTCATGGTTACCTCTCTAATTGTCAGTTTACTGCTATTTTTCCTAATTTATCATTATGCCCCTTCCTCGCTTTATAGTTCACTTTTCTTCATCTCTTGATGTTTTTATGCCAATGTAAAGGCCTGGGATCACTCACTAATTCATATCAGTTCAAGAACAAGATCTAAGTAAATCCTGGATTAAACAAGAACCAGAGGGAAAAAATGTATTTTTAGTTATTTGTCTTTTAGTTTGAACTAACAAGCAATACAAATTAATATATAAGAAGAAAACGTGACGGGAGCGTACCAGTGTTCAGCAGAGTCGAGCGTGCTGAAATGTTCATTTCCTGCAGAAGCTCCAGTGTTTCGGTATGGAAGAGACGGATGGAGGAACCCTCGGAGAACGCCATCCACACTCCTCCACCGGCACACGCCATGTGTGTAACACTGACCGTCGGATCTGGGTGYACTTCAAATTTCTGCAACCAAAACAACAAATCTGCTATAAAATGCAACCACCTGCATCTTAGATACTATAAATATTTGAATTCCCCACCYAAAAACCTCTGGTTTACAACATCCATCTTTTCCTATAACTGAGACACTCGTTTCTGAATGAAAATTTACCGCTCCTAGTTTTAAAGCTGTGTTTGCTGACTGGTGAAGTAAAGAAGAAACCTCTCAAAATTGCTCCAAACTTGCTTTTGCAAACGAGATCTAAACGCCTTCAGTAATTCTGCCATTTACTGAATCCCAGACGCACAGAGCATGTTTTTGCACGATTCCCCCTGCCTTCAATCTTTTAAGAAGCACAATGTAGCAAGAGTTTCAGGCGCGCGCTCTTAATGAGTTGCTTGAAATAAATGCAACGAGCCTTATCGTGGGAACACATGRGGCCCCTGCGGTCTTTGGCGTGACAAGGGCTGGTTTGGGCACAATCTTGAAACTCATATCGCTGTCAATAAAGAAGTTGCACGAAGCTGGGCAATTAGTCAGTGAGGATGACTGAGTGAGGATGAGAATGCACCGCCCACCCAAACTCAGAAGCACCGGCAGACAGGGATTACCACCTGTTCGTGTGCCCTTGCCAGTGGGCCCTCCTTTGTTTGAAATTTGGGAAAAGGAAAGAAGRCTTTGATGTGTTTTCTCTGTTAATTGACTCTACAGCAGCGGGTGCCAACAGTGTCTGGAAAACTAAATGGAATACATCTCACTGTTTTTGCAACAAACRCCYCCAAAATAAAACCTATAGTGAAAAGTCAAATTCTTACCTTCAATAACGATTTCAAAACTAGATAACAATATGGCGTGATTGAGTACAACAGTCTTCTCAGTCATACTGTTCTATATGTTGCACAACATAATTATCACATTAATCATTATCAAGCATGGTGGCACTAAAAGGGACTTTCAGCTCATCAATGGCTAACATWCTGTTGTTGCTGAATGCCATATTGCCTGCCATATGTTTGAAACCACCTGAAGGGCATACTGCTAAGCTAAGAACAGTACATCACAACAGACATATATGTTAGGAAATAAAAAAGATAAGCACAAAAAGCTCAGAAGAAGCTTAGTGTTTTAGTTTAAGGGAATAACAAACCTCATTTTATATTACAGCTAATGATGAAAAGCATATTTCCCAGCAAACATACCGTATTCATTCGTGTATAATACGATCTCATGTATAATACGACCGCCCCACACACACACTTTTTGAGCTTAAAAAGCATAAAAAATTTAATCCTCAAACTACCTCCAATTTCATACAGACTTCAAGATTTTCCAGCCTTTGCTGTCTTTATACATATCAGTAAAATGATCATTGGACTGTTCATTTTATTTTAACAACATATGTACTAAAATGTATTTTGACAACAAATATATATCAGCTGTAGCAGCATCATATGAATTCTGGCATTTTACACATAGTCCACCAGGAGGCGCCAACACAAAAGTCAGAGACTTCACATGAGATTTGGGCCATCTTGTGGGGCAAAACCAGATTACTTCCTACTCACGAGTGCCCCCTCTGGTGGGGAAACGTTTTTCAGGGATACAAACTTTTTCAGAACACCGGTAGATGGCAGCCATTACAGACCAACATGTGTTTGTTGTTGTTCGAGGAGCGGCCCGGTCACACACTAATGTCATTAGTTCGTTATCATTACCAAGGTGCAGGACTGCTTTTCCCCCCTTTTTTTCACATCATGTCTCCTGCCTGGATCTGTTACTATCTCGCTCTGAAGCATGGAGGAGTGTCAGAGGTGAGCTCGTTTCAACTGATTTTTAGGACACGGTCTCATTTCCGGACTCAGGCATTTTGTAAATGAAGCCGATATTTCAGTTAAAATACATAAGTAAAAATATTTATCCGAGTATAGTACTACCCCCCAACTTTATGGATGATTTTATGGATTAAATTTTACGTATTATACTTGAATACGGTACTTCACCAGAAGCAAAGTCTCCCCCACCT